CCCCCCGCAGCCGCCACTACGTCGCCGAGTCGGCGTTCCCTCTGTCGCGATACCCGCCCTACTGCAGCGGCACGGCCTACGTGCTGTCGCGACAGGCGGCGGGCGCGGTGCTGGGCGCGGCGCGGGCGGTGCCGCTGGCGCTGCCCGAGGATGTGTGGGTGGGGGTCTCGGCTCGGCGGGCGGGGGTCGCGGCGCGGCACTCGGCGCGTTTCGGGGGCTCGGCGCGGTTCCCCCCCGAGCGCTGCTGCGCGGGCCGGGCGCTGTTCAGCGCGCACCGCGTCAGGGCCGCGGAGCTGCGGCGGCTCTGGGCCGCCCTGCCGGGGGTCCCCGCGGCCTGCGGGGGGCTCTGGGCCGTGCTGGGCGTGCTGCGCTGCCGGCTGAGAGCACCCTCCTCCAACCTCTCCCCCCCCCCAATGGGGACTGAAGGATTGGGGGGTGATGTCATGGGGAGTGACGTCATGGGGGGGGAAGAGCCTCTTTGCCTCCTCTAACCGTGGAGAGAGAGGGGTTGGGGGATGACGTCATGGGGGTGACGTCACGAGTGGCGGTCACAGTGGTTGGGGATGACGTCATGACTGGGGGAAGCCCCTCCCTTTCCTTCCCTACCCATGGGGAGAAACAGGGGTTGGGGGTGACGTCATGGGGAGTGACGTCACGAGCAGGGGAAGCGCCTCCTTCCTTGTAGGGACACAGTGGATGGGGGTGACGTCATGGGGAGTGACGTCACGGGTTGGGGGATTCCCCCCCCCCGGTGGGGCAAACCCCCCACCCCAATTGGGTCAAGGACCCCCCAAAATGGGGGCAGGGGACCGGGGGTGTGACATCACAGGGAGTGACGTCACGGCTTGGGGGATCCCCCCAGTGGGGACAATGAGTGCGGTTACATCATGCATCGGGAGTGACGTCACAGGGCGATGACGTCATGGACGGGACACGCCCCCCCCGTGGGGACAGGGCCCCTCCCCCCACAGGGGGCCACGGGAGGGGGGACATGGGGACAGCGATGTCACCCGGGTGTGACATGGGTGTGACACGGGGACAGCGATGTCCCCTGGGTGTCACACGGAACTGGGACAGTGACACCGATGTCACCTGGGTGTGACACAGGGACACGGAACTGGCTCGGGGACACGGATGTCACCTGGGTGTCACACAGAGCTGGGACAGTGACAGCGATGTCACCTGGGTGTGACACAGGGACACGGATGTGACACAGCTGGGACAGTGACACAGGGACACGGAGCTGGCACGGGGACACGGCTGTCACCTGGGTGTGACACAGAGCTGCACAGTGACACTGATGTCACCTGGGTGTCACACAAGGACACGGAGTTGGCTTGGGGACACCAATGTCACCTGGGTGTCACACAGAGCTGGGACACTGACACCGATGTCACCTGGGTGTGACACAGGGACACGGAGCTGGCACAGGGACACGGATGTCACCTGGGTGTCACACACAGCTGGGACAGTGACACGGATGTCACCTGAGTGTCACACAAGGACATGGATGTGACACAGCTGGGACAGTGACACAGGGACACGGAGCTGGCACGGGGACACGGCTGTCACCTGGGTGTGACACAGAGCTGGGACAGTGACACTGATGTCACCTGGGTGTGACACGGGTGTCACACAGCTGGGACAGTGACAGCGATGTCACCTGGGTGTGACACAAGGACACGGAGCTGGCTCGGGGACACCGATGTCACCTGGATGGCACACAGAGCTGGGACAGTGACACCGATGTCACCTGGGTGGCACCTGGAGTGACACAGGTGTCACACGGAGCTGGGACAGTGACACCAACGTCACCTGGATGTGACACGGACACGGAGGTGACATGGGTGTCACACGGAGCTGGCACAGTGACATGAGGACACGGAGGTGACACGGGTGTCACACGGAGCTGGCACGGTGACACAGAGGTGACACGAGGACACGGAGGTGACATGGGTGTCACACGGAGCTGGGACAGTGACAGCAGTGTCACCTGGATGTGACATGGACACGGAGGTGACACAGGTGTCACACGGAGCTGGGACAGTGACACCAACGTCACCTGGATGTGACATGGACACGGAGGTGACACGGGTGTCACACGGAGCTGGCACGGTGACACGGAGGTGACACGGGTGTCACACGGAGCTGGGACAGTGACACCAGTGTCACCTGGATGTGACACGGACACGGAGGTGACACAGGTGTCACACGGAGCTGCCACGAGGACACGGAGGTGACATGAGGACACGGAGGTGACACGGCTGTCACATGGAGCTGGCACAGTGACAGATGTGACACGAGGACACGGCTGTCACCTGGGTGTCACCCGGGTGTGACACGAGGACACGGAGGTGACACGGGTGTCACCCGGAGCTGGCACGGTGACACCGGTGTCACCCGGAAGTGACACAGAGCTGTCACCCGGAGCTGGCACGGTGACACCCGTGTCACCCGGCTGTCACCCGGTGCCACCCCAATAAAGTCCCAGCGCTGGTGACACCGAGGTGGCCTCGGCTGGGGGAGGGGACACCTTGGGGACCCCAAAATTGGGGGAGGGGACACCTTGGGGACCCCAAAATTGGGGAGGGGACACTTTGGGGACCCCAAAATTGGGGGAGGGGACACCTCGTGGACCCCAAAATTGGGGAGGGGACACTTTGGGGACCCCAAAATTGGGGGAGGGGACACCTCGGGGACCCCAAAATTGGGGAGGGGACACCTTGGGGACACCAAAAATGGGGGGAGGGGACATTTAGGGACCCCAAAATTGGGGGGAGGGGACATCGGAGACCCCCAAAATGGGATGGGGACACTTTGGGGACCCCAAAAATGGGATGGGGACCCCAAAAAATGGGATGGGGACACCTTGGGGACCCCAAAATTGGGGAGGGGACACCTTGGGGACCCCAAAAAATGGGGGGAGGGGACATTGGGGACCCCCAAAATTGGGGGGAGGGGACACTGGGGACCCCCAAAATTGGGGAGGGGACACTTTGGGGACCCCAAAAAT